AACTCTGAGCTGTGCAGATGATCAAGTGCCGGTAACGTTTTCTCAATTGTTTCCGATTCTTCTGAATTTTTTCTTACAAGAATTTTATAAACTCAACGGACTCCATTCATTCCCAATTATGATGGGAAGGGTGAAAAGCGATGAAATTCTTCCTAATTGTAATATTTTATGCCTGTTGAAAGTGGTGAATTCAGCTGAACGGTACTTGTGTGGAACGAGTGATTCCTGGTAACAGTTGCATGATTGAGGAGCAATGCTTGGACGAATCGAACTGCATCAATAGCGTTTGCCTTTGTCCGTTTGGGACCAGAAAGCTGAACGGGTAAAAACATTGCAATGCTTCTCAAATAGACAGTATTTTGAATCCGACTATATTCGCATCTTAAAACAACATCCTCATTGTATGACTGACAAAATTTCAAGTCATTTCATAGAAATGGCAATTATTTCTTCAGTCATTGCGTTCCGGTGAAAGCGTCACTGCACTGTAAGGCCACTCAACTGGAAATTGATGACGAATGCTTGGACTACTCGAAACCAGGTGGTAGTTGCGTCGTTAATCAGCAATGCCTATCCATGTCTACATGTCCCAAAGGTTTGTTCTTGTGACAATTTGTGAAAAATATCAAAATACGATGATCCGTCAAAAATGAAGCTTATGTATCGTTTTGAAATGTTATACGACGAAAATGATATTAGAATCAAGTTTATCACGTTCTGAATGGGGAATTTTTGACTGAAATTATCCGTTTGAACTGTTGATTGTGTCGAAATTCCTGATGACATTGTTCTGATCAGGAACCTGCGAATGCTCATATGGCTATACGAACGTGAAGGGTTACTGCTTGAAATTGGAAATTGAACGAACAACCGATTTGTGTAGATCGAACGAGGTAACTGAAACTCATTTTTCAGATCGTCTTATCACGCTTTCATAATTGTGGGGTTACTTTCAAGATTTTCATATCATTTTCCCAGTGACGACTTATATCGATGCAGGAATTTAAATATTTATTTGAAGCTTTCGGATGTTAAACTGAAACAATTCAAATGACAAGTCATATCTGTAATTGAACAAAATTTAATGCGATGGTGTTACTCTCACTGCTTTGAGGTG